GCTCATCTTAACATAGTGCTCGTGCGCAGACCAAAACTGAGACCAATTCCAACTCTAGCACGTATGTTGGCTTCCAGAACCTCTGCGTTGACATAAGAGGTGTCACTTGGTCTTCACAGTCGTCTTGGGCTTTCTACGCTTAAAATCCTACTGTGAGGCTATCCCAAGCAGGTTGGGATTGGGCCCAGTTTGCTTTTCGCACTGGTTGGGATTGGTCCCAGTTGGTTGGGATTGGGCCCAGTTGGTTGGGATTCGGCCCACATGCGGTCCGACCCCCCCCCCCCCCCTGAAGGAGGGGGGGCGGTGTGGACCCCCCCCCCTTGACGTTGGAAAGTCGATACCCCCCCTCCCCCCCTTTGCGTTGGACAGATGTCATGGGAGGGGGCCTCTCCCGCTGCCTCTGCGCCAGAGAACGTGGGTGGGGAGTATGGAGTAGGGAATAGTGAGGAGTGAGTATTGAATAGTGTGTAGTGAGTAATGAGTAGAGAGTAGCGAGTAGAGAGTAGTGAGTAGTGAGTAGTGCATAGTCAGGAGTGAGTAGTGAGTAGTAGTGAGTATTGAGTAGTGAGTAGTGAGTAGTGAGTAGTGAGTACTGAGTAGTTCGTCGCGAGTAGTCAGTAATGAGTACTCAGTAGTTAGTGATGAGTAGTAGGTACTCAGAAGGAAGTAGGGAGTAGTGAGTAGGGAGTAGTGGGGAGTGAGTAGTCGGTGGTTTCTAGTGAGTAATGGGTAGTGGGTAGTGCGTAGTGGGTAGTGATTAGTGAGTAGAGAGTAGTGAGTAGTGAGTAGTGAGTAGAGAGTAGCGAGTAGTGCGTAGGGAGTAGTGAGTAGCGAACAGGAGATAGTGAGTCAGTGAGTAGTGAGTAGTGGGTAGTGAGTAGTGGGTAGTGGGCAGTGAGAAGCGAGTAGCGAGTAGGGAGTAGCGAGTAGAATGTAGTGAGAAGCGAGTAGTGGGTAGTGAGCAGTGGGTAGTGAACAGGGAGTAGGCAGTAGTGGGTAGTGAGTAGTGAGTAGCGAGTAGGGACTAGCGAGTAGTGAGTAGTGAGTAGTGAGTACGGAGTTGTGAGTAGTGTGTAATGATATGTGAGACGTGGGTAGCGAGTAGTAAGTAGTGAGTAGTGAGTAGCGAGTAGTGAGTAGTGAGTAGTGAGTAGTGAGTAGTGAGTAGTGAGTAGTGAGTGGTGAGAAGTGGGAAGCGAGTAGTGAGTAGTGAGTAGCGGGTAGTGAGTAATGGGTAGTGAGTAGTGAGTAGTGGGTGGTGAGTGGGGAGTATTGCGTAGCCAGTAGCGAGTAGGGAGTAGCGAGTAGTGGGTAGTGAGCAGTGAGTGGTGAGTAGTGAGTGATCTGTAGTGAGTAGTGAGTAGTGAGTAGTCGGTAGCGAGTAGTGAGTAGTGAATTTTGAATAGTGTGTAGGGAGTAGGGAGTAGTGGGTAGTCAGTAGTGAGTAGTGAGTAGTGAGTGGTGGGTGGTGAGTAGTGAGTATTGACCAGCGAATGCCGAGTAGGGAGTAGCGAGTAGTGAGTATCGAGTAGTGACTAGGGAATACAGTGTAGGGAGTAGCGAGTAGAGAGTAGTGAGTACTGAGTATTGAGTGATGAATAGTGAGTAGTGGGTAGTGAGTAGGGAGTAGTGTATTGTGAATGGTGGATAATGTTTAGTCAGTAACGAGTAGTGAGTTGTGAGCAGAGGGCAGTGAGTAGTGAACATTGAGTATAGAGGAGTAGTGAGTGGTGAGTAGTGAGTAGGGAGTAGTGAGTAGGACGCAGTGAGTAGTGAGTACTGGGTAGTGGGTAGTGAGTAGTGAGTATCGAGTATTGCTTGGGCTAAAGTTAGGGATTGGGTTTAGGGTCTGGGGTTCGGGTGCGGATTAGGGTTCGGGGTGGTAGCGGGGGGGGGCGGGCTCTGGAGTCAGGGGGCAGCGTGGCGAAAGGGGGGGGGTCGAATTTCGAGCCCACGGAGGGGGGGGGGGGGGTCGGATTCCCCCTTCCCTTTTGAAAGGGGGGGGTTCCCCGACGACGGACGGGGAAAATGGGGGGGGGGCTTCCCGACGACGGACCGGGAAAGGGAAGGTGGGGGGGTCTCCGACGATGGACCGGGGAAAGGGGGGGGAGGTCCCCCCTCTTTTCTTGGGGAGGTCCAGCGGCGCGCCCTCATTGATGAGTCTTGGGTTTGCACTGGTCCTCCTCCTCCTCCTCCTTTTCCTTCCCCTCCTCTTCTTCTCCCTTCCCTCCCCCTTCTCTGCCCCTCCTCCTCCCCCTCCTCTTTACAATTACACAATATGAATACTACTCTTCTGTCTCTCCTGTCCGGAGAGTGCCCCGTCCTCTGCGTGTATTGTTTTGCACACTTGATTTCATTTTTTGATCTTCCCGTTGTGTTTTTCCGATCTGGCCGTTCCCGGTTCTTCCGACATGGTGCTCCCGCTGCCGCGCCGCCGTCATTTCCGCGTTTCGGTCATTCAATATCGTGCTCCCGGTGCACACTTGGCGTCGTTCCCGCGCCTCTGGTTGTTCCACATCGTGTTCCCGCAGCAGCACTGACGTGTCCGGATCTTTCAGGTAGCGCTGTTGTTGTAGCTCTGGCTTTGTTCCAGTCCTGCGTTCCTTACAAATTCGTCCTCCCGCTGCAGCGATGGTCTCATTCCCGCTTTCGGTCCTGGCCTCGTTCCTGCGTTTTAAATTGTGCTCCCGTTGCAGCGCTGGCGCTGGTTTCATTTCCGTCGGTCCTGGCCTCATTCCCGCGCTTCCGTTCTTCCCACATCCGGCAGGCACAGCTGCGGAGGACATGGAGCTGGCATTCCGGACAGGCCCTGTCCTTTACCCTCTCAGTCATCTGGTGCAATGCCACGGCATGCAATGCGATACTGTGTTGTGCACCGCTGTGCGATGCCATGCTTTGCGTTGCTATGCTTTGTGATGCAATGGTTCACTACGCAAAGCCACTCCACGCTATGACATGCTATGCTCTGCCGTGCTCTTCTACTTCACGCTTTTCCATCCAGCGCGTACCCTCTTGGGATCATTGCCCTGCTCGACGTCCGACTGTGCGAATAGCTCGGAGGTCTACGCCATGGTCAGGGATGGGAGGGAGGGGTAGGACGTCGGCTGCGACGCTAGCGCACCCAGCTTGCCCCGCTCCCCCCCCCCCTCTCCCTCCTCTTGCTCCCTCGTGCTGGCCCCCCCCCGCTCCTTTTTTCCCCTCCCCCCCACCCCACCCGCCCCGGTCCTCCCGTCAGGGCATGCACAGCGATGTGCGGGGGATGCTCGACAAGCACGGCTACCGGCAGGTCAAGCAGATCGGGGAGGGCTCCTTCGGCAAGGCCCCCTCTCCGCCCCCGAGACCCCGCCGCTGGGCTCGCCGCGCCCGCGTTTCCAGAGGGGCGGGGGTGGCGGGTCTGCCTGGGCGGACGATTCCCAGCATGCCTCGGAGCATGGGCGGCGCACTCCCCTGGTGGCTCCGAGCCCTCCCACTTCGCCGTCGGTCGGTATCGTTTGACCAATCCCCATCCCCACTGGCCCATGGCTTCTCAGCCCCACCATCCCAGTTCCACTACTCGCAAAGTGCCTACTCGCAAGCGTCCGAAAAAAACAGGTCTTCTCGATGTAAAGCATCGCAAGCCCCCCGCGGCGGATCTAGGCCATCTGCGAGTAGCTACTTTGCGAGTAGTGGAGCGCGCTTGCCCAGGCAGGGCGACACCGAAGGCGATCTTCGGCGCATTGGCGATCCAGGAGGCCACCTGTCTCGCCAAATGCTGCCGTATGCCTCGAACCGTCCGCCGGGGTAGGTCATGAAGCTGACTCCTCTTGGTAGCCTGATCCGCAAGGTCATTGCACCTGGGCTCCCAGGCGTCAAACTTCTGGTGGCCATTGAGGCTCCGCATCAGCACCTGAGGCCAGTAGGCCGCCGTGGTCGTCGATGGGGTGCCACAGCCGATGCCAGAGGTCCACGTTCTCGAGGAGGAGGAGGAGGAGGAGGAGGAGGAGGAGGGGGGAGAATGCGGATGCAGGAAAGGATGAGGGAAGGAACGGACGATGACAAGCAGGATGAGAAGCTGGGCTTTGGATTCTATGTTTTCGTCAGAGATTCTTGAAGGACGACGAAGGCCATCTTAGAGGCTTTCTTAGGGCCCCTGTGGGTCCTCCCTCTTGGGGCACTCTTGGGACACTCTTGGGGCCCTCTTGGGGTTCGTTTTGGGGATCTTGGGGCCTTCTTGGGGCTCCTTGAAGGGGTCTTGGGGACCTTTTGGGCCATCTTGGCCCCCATGAGTCAAAACGGGAGGGTTACTCGATTCAGGTCCCCCCATGGAGGCTCAAAAAGGATGCCCCGGTGCCCTTTTGTGGCGCTCTTGGGGCGCTCGTGGGCGCTCTTGAGGCCCCCTTGGGGCCCTCTCGGGCTGTCTTGGGGCTCTCTTGGGCCGTTTTGAGGCCATCTTGAGGCCTCCGACGCCCATCGCAAGCGAAAAGGCGAGATGGCAAACATCATGCATGTTCCTCAGGTTTTTGAAGCCATTTTTGCCTCGGTGGGGATTTGAAACCGTCTTGGGTCCGTCTTGAGACCTCTTGGATGTGCGTCGGAGGCTATCTTGAACCATCTTGTGTTATCTTGCGCCATCTTGGAGGCCATCTTGGGGTCTCCTAGGCCCTCCTGGAGCCATCTTGGGCGATCTTGATGGCTTTAGCGCCTCGCGGCCCTCCCCCTCCCAGGCCCAGGGGAGGGTGTAGGGGGATGGGTTAAGCTACTCGCCCGCCCGCAAGCCGTCCAGCTCACTCCCACACGCCCTCCCTACACAAGTAGCACACGAGCCCGAGCATGTTCAGCGGTCGTCTTTGGATGGGCAGCTACTTGGAACCAAAGCCGACCCAATGTGCGCGACGTTGGGGCGAGGTGCACCACGCGTGCCAGGGGCGCCACGCGCGCCAGGCACCCCTGGGGCCCAAGCGTGCCAGGCACGCCTGGTGCGCCAGATGCGCCACGTGCCTCCGAGTGCGCCAGGTGTGCCGCACACTCCAGCCGTACCAGGGGCGCCGCGTTCGGGGCATGTGCAGAGTGCGTCAGGTGCGCCTGCGCACGTGACAGCACACATCGGGAAACATGTCGCCCCCCGCCATCCTTGTCGAAAACCGATGCCCATCATTGTGTCTGGTGGGCCTGCGCACAGCAGGCCACGCGCCACCGCCCCCGCATTCCCTGTCCAAAACCACTTGGCAGTGATCGCGGGAAAGCTGCGCACGATCCAGATTTAGCCGCGAGGTGCATGTTGTATCGTTTTTTGTCAGGGATGGTAGCCCTGCGCACAAAGTGCTCGCGGGCCTCACGAACATGACTCAAGACTTTGCCCCAAAGTGTACTGGGCATTTTTTTGACGGGGATGGTGGGGGGGGGCCGCATCGGGTTGGCCGCGCATGCTCCAAATGTGGAGGCAGAGTGCGGTTCGTATTTTTTTGACAGGGATGATGGGGGACGGGTCGGCATGGTGTCGGGATGGTGTCGGCATGGTTCGTGTTGGCCTGGGTCGCCTGGGGGAGGAGGGGTGAATACTAATAAGCAACAGTGATCAAGCTACCCACCCGCCCGCAAGCCGTCCAGCTCACTCCCACCCGCCCTCCCAGCACATCAGTAGCACACGAGCCCGAGCAAGTTCATCGGTCGTCTTTGGATGGGCAGCTTTGGAAACCAAAACCGGTCCCATCTGCGCGACGTGTGGGCGAGGTGCGCCACGCGTGCCAGGCGCACGCCACGCGCGTCAGGCACCCCTGGGGCCCAAGCGTGCCAGGCACGCCTGGTGCGCCAGATGCGCCACGTGCCTCCGAGTGCGCCAGGTGTGCCGCACACTCCAGCCGTACCAGGGGCGCCGCGTTCGGGGCACGTGCAGAGTGCGTCAGGTGCGCCTGCGCACGTGACAGCACACATCGGGAAACATGCCGGCCCCCACCATCCATGCGAAAACCAATGCCCATCATTGTGTCTGGTGGGCCTGCACACAGCAGGGTCTACGCCATCACTTGACAATGATCACGGGGTCGCCGCGCACGATCCAGATTTAGCCGCAAGGTGCATTTTGGATTGTTTTTGTCAGGGATGGTAGCCCTGCGCGCAGCAGGGAATATGCTGACACCCCCGCCGTCCTTGTCAAAAACGATACAACATGCCCGCGGGCCTGACGAACATGACTCTAGACTTTGCCCGAACATGTGCTTTGTATTGTCTTTGACATGGATGGTTTGGGGGGGGCCCTCATGGGGTCCTCATTGTTCCTGGTTGACTGCGGGTCGCCTGTGGGGGGGGTGTATATCATTAGAGACGTGATCAAGACCCGTCCCTAGATAGGAAGCCGTCTAGCTCACTCACATCCGCCCTCCCAGCACATAAGTAACACCCGAGCATGTTCAGCGGTCGTTTTTGGATGGGCAGCTTCTGGAAACCAACACCGAGCCCATGTGCGCGACGTGTGGGCGAGGTGCGCCACGCGTGCCAGGCGCGCCACGCGCGCCAGGCACCCCTGGGGCCCGAGCGCGCCAGGCACGCCTGGTGCGCCACGTGCGTTACGTACTCCACGTGCGCCAGGTGTGCCGCACACCCCAGCCGCGCCAGGTGCACCATGTTCTAGGCACGTGCAGAGTGTGTCAGGTGCGCCTGACCCCACCATCCCTGCGAAAACCAATGCCCATCATTGTGTCTGGTGGGCCTGCACATAACAGGCCATGCGCCACCACCCCCGCACAAAAACCAATTGACAGTGATCGCGGGAAAGCTGCGCATGATCCAGATTTAGCCGCGAGGTGCATGTTGCATTGTTGTTTAGGAATGGTGGCCATGCGCACGACATGCAATCTGCCGACCCCCCGCCGTCCTTGTCCAAAATAATACATCGTGCTCGCGGGCCTCACGAACATGACTCAAGATTTTGCCCCGCAGTGTGCTGTGTATTGTTTTTTTGGGGGGTTGCGCAGGCTCCGACTTTAGAGGCAACGTGGCAACGTGTGTGTGTGTGTGTGTGTGTGTGTGTGTGTGTGTGTGTGTGTGTGTGTTTGTTTATTTGTACTTTCCCAACCATTCTGTGGTGGTTGGGTCCTCGTTTTGAAGAGACGGTCCCCGCGCCCCTCCTCTCCTCCTCCCTTCCTCCCTCTTGGCACACCCCTCACACGTTTCGTGGCCCCGTATGGATTTCTACCTGAGGTCCCAGTGGCGCAGTCCGCATGGCGGCGCCGCCCTATGTTCGCACACCCATCGCACGTTGCGTGGCCACATAGGGATAGGGATCTCCACCTAGGGTCCCAGTGGCGCAGTCCGCATGGCGGCGCCGCCCCATTTTGGCACACCCCTCACGCGTTTCGTGGCCCCAGAGGGAGCTCATTTTAAGGTTTTAGTGGCGCAGTCTGCATGGCGGCGCCGCTCCATTTTGGCACACTTCTCATACGTTTGGTGGCCCCATAGGGAGCTCCACATGAGTCCCAGTCGCGCAGTCCGCATGGCGTCTCCGCCCCATTTTGGAACACCCTT